ACAAATCAATATTACAAGCCATTTGGGCTAAGACATTTGAAAAGTTCAGGTAGGGATCTTGTGCGTGCACTATTCAGGTTCACGCACCCGGATAGCTGTGGCTACAACGGCTACTAATTCTCACCTGTAACCATACTTCATTCGGCTATCAGATGCACTAGTGGTTTTATGGCAACCTTACTGCTTCTGGTCTCCAGCCTCAATATGTGGCGTTCCATCATCTTGTGGAATAAACACCTTGTCACGCGACCAATGCATCCTGCGCCGCAGAAACAAGTGGTTTAGCCTAAACATGCCTATTCTCCGTTAAGTTTGGTTTTAGCCTTATGCTGCTGGTAAACTAGTTATATGTATTAGACCACTGTGGAGTGGGTCTGAATTGGCACGAGACATGACGAGTTAGAACTTACATTGCAATTTTGCCCGTGTTTGAAAGCTGCAGCGAGCTTGATTTCCCCTCTACTCTCAAGCACACAGTAGCACTCTTTCGCCATGCTAATCTTAGTGTAACGAGTTGGGTAACCGTTTTCTTTGATATCGGGCGTATAGGTTGGAACGCTTTAGAAAATATCATTTAAGCAAAGCATTTCAGCTCACCTTATTAAGCGGCAGACCGCTCTCCTTTTAAAGTTAGGTTGCACAAACCTGTGAAACTCACTGCATCTTCCGTTCCATGTGTGCTTCCTATGTGTGTGACACCATAGATCGTCGTTGTTGAGACTATTTCTGTCTACATCAATAAGATGCATGCAACCGTTTCCTTCCACTACTTTATTTGAGCTTACTTGAATGTTTTGTTAACCTTCACAGTAGTTTGAGAGACGTGGAACAATATGGTGATATCATCCGCGTGATGGTACCAGAGTCTGATGCTCTTGATGTCCGACTTTAAACAACTTGCTTGTTGCATGCCGCTGAACACATCGGCGAGGAAAGGATCAAGTGAAGATCCAATCACAAACCCACCGCGCTAATGATTATTTCATTATCTTTTGCTAATCTGAGCAACACCTCTTAGTACACCCTCTGTCCTTTCAAATGCCTACAGTAGATTGGGTTAATGGTCCTCACAAAATACGCCAATGCACTGAGTTGATTTCCAGGTTTCTTCTCAACCGCAAGTTGTTGTTTTCTTTAGTTCGTTCGCACATTTTTCAGTTAAGATAATGATGTGGATGCATCCATCAGGAGACATTCTTTCCCCGGTGTACATTAATAGGAGTCGTAGTCGTAATATTTTTGTAGTTGATGGTAACACATGCTTTAGATTCTACTCGACAGTGGGAATGCGAGAGCGCACAGGACACATGCGTCTAAAAGTTCATGAGTAACTTGTGCTGCACCACACATACACTACATATTTAGTGCAAATTTCAATGAATAAGTGGTAGAGACATGTGGACGCCAGCTTCACTATTGGGATCACTGAAATCATCCCGCCTGGTTGAAGCTGAGTGGACATCCTATCTGCTTTCAAATGATGACCGAACAGTCTAAGCTATAGAAATGGAGCCCTCAGGTTCGCGAACAGACTGCGTCAATTGTCAGAGTCACCCTACTGTGCGTTGCGTCCAAATTCATCGCTTCTTTGTTTTTACGAAGACCCATTAGAGCATGCGAATAGTGTCTGAGTGAACATCAAGCTGGGTTTCGCTCCTCTCGGAGCCCTTAATCGCACATTTACGATCCACCACGTACTCAGGGAACTACTAGAAAAAACCTACATCAACGCCAGCGTTAACAGCGGCAAAGAAAGCTGTTCATACGACTACCTTTTAAATGGGACATGAATACCGAGCGTTTACTTAGAAGTCTTTCGGCAGCAGTGAGGGTGACCTTCGCAGCAGCTTTGACAAAGTGTGCGTTTTCAACCGAACCGGTCATTCGTTCACAAAAGAAGGACGAGCTGCCGATACTGATCAGTTCGAGTGCGCCTGTGGCCCATCACCACCGTTCATCAATATACACGTCAACTAGAAGTGGCACACAGCCATTGTGCCACAATACGCAAGAAGAAAAAAATAATGAGGAGACGCAACACCGGCGCGCCAGCTGTGCTATCAGTAACGGATGGACATCGTCCCGGAGAGCTAGCAGTCGGTTGTTGTGTCACAAAAAGATACGCTTCAGGAATTAGATCGTGGTTGGAGGGGTAGGCTGTTGCACAACTTATAATGGTTTAACGGCGCGGCACTTGTCCAAGCACGTGAACGAACACTACCCACATTGGTTGTGTCAAGGTAGCGCTGGGGCCATTAACAACTCTCTTCTGGCCCATATCGTCGACACTGGGCATCAGGTAGATCTAAACTGTGTCCTTAGAATAGTGTGCAAGTTCCCACCATACTGACTGAAGCGTCAGCACCTTCCTACACTTGCTACGGTCTCTCAGAAGAAACTAGTACAGGATCTACAGCTTCCTTCGTCAGGGAAACAGAAGACACTGAGGTCTACTACCCTGGGTCAAAGCCTATGGCACGCTGTCAACCTACCAAGGCACAGTTCACTCCTTGTTCTCCGACACCAACCCGCACATGATCTATGCAGCCTAAACTAACTGGGTCGATTTTAATAGCCGCTATATGTGGTTGTAGTGGTCTGAAGATGAATTATATAAAGCAGTTGCTCACTAGCTGGTCTCTTGTTATCAACACTTAAATGGGAAATTTTAAGTTAATCAATGACTGTCGAAATTCCAGTCGACCTATAATCGTTTGCTATTGGTTATACGTGCTGTCAGTGCTTCTGGTTGCAAAGTCTTTGGATTCGTTTACTGAGAAGGGAAGTATATGATAAAATTTTCAACAGCCTTCTAGCAGTTTATTATTTAACCTTGGGCCGTGTGTGGGTATGCAGTGGCCATTGGTTATCCTTTTGGCATTCTCAGTGTCGTGAGACAGGGTTACTTCGAGTCACCTTTCTTGTTCAACTTCGTTGTGGATGACGTCTTAGAAAACCTGGTGAAAGCTGGGCACCTAGTAGCGCCGATTTGCTCCCAGGTGATCAATTTCGTTGCACTGATTATGTTTATTACATCGCCGTAATCTGTGACACTCCGCATGTTGCGCAGTACATGCTGCACAAGTTGGAGATTTGTCTTGCAATTCGGAATGACTTTTGCCCTTTGAATTGCAAATTTTGCCTGCAAGAATAGTTAGAAGCTGCCGCCACATTCCCTCTGACTCTCCTTTAAAAGTAGCGGACAAGTTCGTTTAACTTAAGAGTTACACTAACGTGGGCGGATTACCGAATGGGATCTCTGAGAATTTCCAAAGCCACAATAGTCTTTACAATCTCCAGTGCCTCTAGTGCCGGTGTGATCTCATCATTTTACTGAAAGGCTGAGTCTACAAGGCTAGTGTATGTTGGCAGCCTACATTGGTAATGATGGGGTTCACCGTCGGATTCACAATTCAAACAAACTCTGCCAGCTGCTGAGCAGAAAATTTTCTCTGCACATCCTTCAGTGGCTTGAGCATATTCTTCGTATGTCTACTCAGTAGTTATTCCACCCCGCTCTCTTTGCAGCCACTGGTATTGGTTAGAAGCAACGGTCTGGGTTTTCAAGTTGTTGTCATTCCGGTTAACCTCAGTGCGGCGTTCCCGACTCCTGGGTTGAGGGCTCAAGCACACTGAGCACACCCAGTTGAAAACGTCGTTAGATATAGCCAAGAATTGTACCCAGCCACGAACGTGTCGCAAAACTCCCCTTTTCTGACTCTTCCCCCTCTTCTTTCGTTGTTTTTACCCCTTTGCTGTAATACTTTTCTAAGTGTATATAGATCACGTGTTGAAAATTTGGGCATATATATATGTATATCCACATGATTAGATCGGAGCTGGGCTATATTTCGCCTAGATGCAAAGCAGTGGCGTAACACTGGATGGAACTTACCTTTCAATACATTCATAGAAAGACTTTTGGACGCTATCCGGTTTCCTGATGAAAACAATTTTTGGGCTTAGCACTGCAGAAAGGATCGTACACCTCGCACCCTCAACAACATTTAGCTGTTTCCTATGGCCACTGATCGGGCAACCATTGCGTACGATTACGTAACCTAACACCAATTTCTGCAAGTTGTTTTATATCACATACCTGTGTACACATATAACCTTAACTGGGTCGATTGCTCACACATCAAGTGAATAAGCTACGTGATTACTGAATGAGTCCGGTAACCTTGTTGTGTAGCTGTGCCGAAACTTGACCAGTCAAATTACTCATCGTTTTTTCTGCTAGACTCGTCGGGATCATGCCGATGACCCACTAGACCCTTTCGGCTGAGACACACACGGCTACTTGCACCACAGTGGCAAATGACTGATGACAAGGGCTTTGGTGTATATCCTCATCTGTCGTCTGGATACCAGCGTTGTTGTTCCCTCTACACCAGTCCTTTCTCGTGGACTTGGGATATAACGTGCTTGGTGTGAATACTCTATTGCCTCAGTTTCATTACCATTTCTTCACAACGCCTGAAATCGTCATCAGTTCATTAGAAAGTCATTTGATTCATGTTTCGATAGCGTCACTTCTGTTCATCCACATTTCATTATCGACTGAGTCTGGAAAAAACACGTGGTTACACTTTGTATGACAGGCTAATAGAACACAGCAAGCGGGTCTACTTGCCCAGCTTAGTTCTTTTGACGCATTTTAGATTCTTTATTGGATAACAGTTTTAGCACATTTAGATCGGCCGGTGGCCGTATGGTCTGCGCGCCTGGTTTGCAACCATAAGGTCACCGGTTCGAATCCGCGTAGGTGTTGGCGTTCCCGCGCGCGACTGTTGGTGGTCGCGTGGCAGTGAAGCGCCGTTACGGCGTACAGTTGGTGAGATATTTATTTTAATGTTAAATGCATTAACACGCCAGTAACTACATCCACTGAATCATTGTCCATGGATACGGTTAATTTTAGTTCACTGAAAATATTGTGTACTTTGTCATCTTAACCTTAACACACTTTTTGACATAATCGATTTATTTCACCTCAGGCATGTCGAAGGAGACAAAGGTGATTGAAGATGAACTTAATCCAGTGTGGAATGAGGTACGTATGATCTTTCTTAACGCATTTGTGACAATTTTTAGGTATTAACTATAGACCTTAAAGGTAAGCCACTGCTTGCAGCAGACAAGATGCTTGTCACCGTGAAGGATCACGATAAAGTCACGCCTGACAAGTAAGGACCTGATTAATGATTATATACTTGTAAATATCAGGAGGCTTTACCTCCCACAGGTGCATTTGCCTTAAGATACTAAGGTTGTCTGTTTTACGTAAGTAACAATGCATCATTGCGCTGTACTGATGACTTAATCGAAATCTAACGCGGTTTCAAGGAAGTTTATTAGCAGATAGTTGGTTTACATACGGTGCGATATGTTAGAATGTCCGCGGTTTATGATGATTTCTTCAAACCCTTTACCTGTCACCAAAGGAGGTCAGAGCAAAGAAACTCCATATTGGCGAATTCCGACATCTCGATAATCAAACGCGGCTTGCTCAGTATCCTAATTCCACACAATATTTATGATCCACGTTACTAACCTATAACAGGTGTCTGACGTCCTACATAGCAGAAGCTTCTCATCAGCATCTTCAACGGTTGGCCGATACTCCTGTTTCCATCGTGCTTTAAATGCGACTAGTTCTTCAATGCAACCTAGTCAAAAGTTTACTGTAATTCACTTCAAAAACTATGATTTTTATACTTCCGGTTACGCACTAAAGAGGCTGCGAATCAGATTTTGCTACACCATTACTGACGAGTTCGACAGAGAGCTAGTGACGATCCAATGCTTTCCCGGAGTGTTGTAGATAAGTAGTTTGTGTCCAAGGATGTTAACTAGTACCCCTAGGATGTGAATCTCTGTTTGAATTTTTAAAACAGCATAACTATAATTCACCACAAGCAACAGAAATCCGATCTCCATTCAACGCCAGGTTGGTTTATAAAAGCCCACATCATCGTTTCGAGATTCACCAGCAATCAGCAGACCTCAACCTCGATGATGCACTCAACTCACAATCTTAATTTTTCGACTAGACCCTGCAAACGCATACCAATACCGGCAGTCATTGCGATAACCCAAACAGATTTATTAATGTATAACCCGTACCTCGTTGTATTAATTGCTAACGCTATGCGGAGAACGAATTCAGCTGCTTGAAATGACGCCTTCTCGCAATGAACTTCCACGCTGACTCCGCTGAGGCAATACTGGTTTACCTATTTGATACTGCACGGTCAGGTCATCCCGGTAGCGGTTTCGTCATTGCTCACAGAGCCCACAGCCAGTTAAAACTTAGGTAAATGCATGCCATCATGATCGCTATAGGAACAGCCATCAAGATGCTGCACTCAATTCTGCATCCAAAATGCGATGGTGACCGAGCTCCACGACCTCACACAACGATGAAGTCACTCACATCCATCTGAAATGCGAAGGTATGCTCAACCTTTGACCCAAAGTACACGACCCGCTTAGTTCATCCCATCCCAAGCGATTGAATCGCAATCTGATTTCGGATAGTTATGAAGAACTTGAGATGAATAATCGAAATCAACTATTTGGCCTTGGACGCAGATGCTATTCTGAAAGTTCCATGTTTCAACTCCCTTTGGTGGTATTTGATAACTCGAATGAACAAAATTTACAGGAGACTGGTGAACGGATATCCCATGAAACATATCTTACCTGAATTGGCCCTGTCGCATGTACCATAGGGCCTCGAATCCAGAATCCATCTTGTCTACTCAAAGAGGTGAACACTGAACTCTCAAGGTAAGATGCAGCGGATTGGCCCGGACAACAATGGGCGGACAACGCTCATTCGAACGAAGCTCGGCTGCTGACACAGCATGCAGTATCGCGCCTGTTCACTCGCGATACTTAGAGCAGAGTTGACTTTTCACATTTTGCGCAGTTTGTTCGCAGTGCATCTTCGCTAAATCCTGCTAGTGCTTCAGTCTGTTCTCGTGGACCAGTCTGATACAATGCTTCCCCTCCGTTATGTAGGTTTCAAAGCTTCGGTATTTGGAGGGACTTTGTATGCCTGCTGTGTTTCTGCGTCCCACTCTCCAGGAAACGCCCGACCTTATTTGAACTGGGGCTCATAACATCTGGTTCGCTTTTTACTCGCCTATGGAAGTGTTTGACGAATCCCTCCCAAGCGCCATCAGGGGGCTGAACAGCTAGGAACGACCAATTGATGGTCATGATGAGGTTGAATAGGATGGTGTGATGCTTCCTCGACGTTCCAATTGAAATGTCCAGTGTTACAGATTTAGCAGGAGAAATGTGTTGCATGCTCGTTGCGCCTCAAGAGACCACTGCTGATCATCTGTTCCTCATTTGTAAACACATGGTCTGCAGTGGTCAGTTTATTCCCCTTCCTACATCACATAAAGTAAGGTGGTTATCAAATTGTATACGAGCGACTACCTTTTACATTCCCATAGAATACAAAACTTACAGGGCCTACAAATTGAAGTCTGCCATAAGGAGAATCTGACTGTAAAAGCGTACCTGAAGGCCCTTTAGAGCAGAAGTTATGCAGATGTCCATTTCTAGTGCGATATAAGATAGCAACTTGATATGTATCTCAGTTGCGTGCGGCATCAAAGCTGGTCAATAACTACCTGTTGATTCAGCAACAAGTTCGAAATACAGGTTAATCCAACGATGCGAAAGTACGCCACCTCTAGTAGAAGCGGTATTACACTGCGCGTCTTCGTTTATTAAGCACTGTGACGCTGACAGAACTAGACCCCCGAAGAACCACAACTTTCATTAAGCCACCCACTATTTTGAATCATGCAGATTTCCCGAGTCAACTTCGACGTTTGAGAATGTGACAGACGGCTCCGACGAGTCTTGGACAGGTTTGGCACAACTCGACTCGATCAGAGAATTACGACATATCCGGAAAGCCATACGGCCGTTTGCTCTCATTTGGAACTCGCCAACATTGTATAATTCTCTTGCGTTCTCAGGAGCTCCAACCAAGACTCGTGATCACGTGGTATAAGTCATGAGTAGCGAGTTGCTTAGACACAGATTCAATTATTGCAGGATCCCGTGGAAGATTTTGCTGCAACGGAATCTCAATATGTCGAAATGGTCGTTCGGTGGTTGGTGTATGTCTAATTCTAACTGAATCAAATCCACTCATCTCCCATCATCTCTCAAAATCTTGGCTTATTATATCAAATTCTCGGTACCAGACCTGCGGTTCATTCCAAGACAATCATTTACGACCTAGGTTCGAGCGAAGCTGTGACAAACGTTCATGTAGATGTTTGCAGCGATTAACACAACTTGCTGGTGTTCCGGATTGTGTGTGCTGTAGCTCGAGATTTGAAATCCTTTGCGCCATGTCCACTTGGGGTAAACTTCAGCTGTTCACGTCATCCTGTTTACTTACTCTTACTGCGTCATCCAGACACCTTTTGTTCGGAGCAAAGTTATTTATAATACCCATGATGGCCCACTGAAATTTCATCTCTCCTAATACTCTAATCTAGACGGAACTCCAGGCGTTAACATTTCACTCTAAAAGAATTCGAGGTTTCATATCACTAGGCAGCCAGTTTGTCTTTTATGAACGTAAACATAACTAGCTGTTCTTTTCATCTCATCTTTAAGTAAAATCATGCTTTGTGGTCACAGGATTTGGGTTTGGAGAAAGGCCTTCTGTATACACTCCTGAAATGATCGAAGCGTACTTCTTCAACCCACATTTTGCGTCTCCTTTTAATTCGTTTCAATCATTAGATTCATGGGCTCCGCCGAAATTCCACTGAGGGAGGTTGTGACCGGAAAGGGTGAAATGAACTTGAAAATTTATTTGAAGAACAAAAAAGGCCAAGAAACAATGGTAAGTTTGAGTCAAGATATTTCATATCGTGAGATGCGTTTAGTATCGTCAGCACAGCTAGGTTAGTTTCACCAGCCGATACCTCAGACGTAAACGAGTTACTCACGAGGACGAAACAGCGAGCCGCACCCGTAAACAACGGCTCCATTGCCTGTTGATGAAACGCGACTTCCCCTATTTTCATTTGGTCAAACAGACGAGCTTGGGAATTACTTTAGCATTAGTCAAACGTTGTTAACTCGTCAATAGCGTGATCTCGACGGACGTTTGTGCTCAGCACGACCATTGTTAGAGCTGATGCTGTTCGTTTCTGATTGGTTGCCTGGTTCCCCTTTTTATCTACTACATTTCTCCGATTGTCTAAGCCCAGCATGCGACTGCAATTAGATGCTGGGACGCGTGCAATCACATGTTTGAAGCATTTGGCCCAATTTGTATTTTGGTTGGTCTTACATCATGTGGATACTAAACAGCAGCATCCTGTCCTATACGGACACTTAGAGCACGGTCTCCAGATTTCCGATATTCCACCAGTGGCTATGACGTGTCCTACGGGGACAAAATGGAACTGGAGAGGGTTTTGCGAATTGGCACAAGGTTAGTCCGAAGTTTATTGGGGCAGACGTATCCCGTACTTCTACATAGCTTTGGGATGAACTCAATGCACTACCGAGGAGTTACAAGGAACTTGATCCTAACTTGCCGTATCTTAGCGGGTAAACTCGGCCCAGACTTGTTCTGGCTATTTAGTCCTGCTAAGCTGCCTAGTCTCCGCGGTCATCCATTGAAGCTGCAAACTGCGTTCTTCAATAGTTCAGTAGTGTATGACGGGAAAAGGCATAGCCTTACAAAACCCACCGTATAGAAACTGCACAAGCAAATTTAAAACCAAAATGTTTCAACGTGGAACGCGAATTATCAATACTTTTCAGCTCGCACTTTACCACACTGTTGTGTAGCGTTTAGCACTAAAATAAAAGTCTAGACGTCTCGCGAATGTCGCGATATGTTGGTAATACATTTCTAAGAGAGTAAAAATACTTCCTACAATAAAACGGGAGTGTTGCGTCACTGGTTTCAGGTGATGGCCTAGACATCGTTCGTAAGAGGCTAGGATCAGTCGTGATGTACATGGGTGCTCGCTTTCAGTTAGTATCCGGTATGTGAGGACGAGATCCCCTGGAAGCTCTCGGTATTCTGAGAAAAACAGACCGAGTAAACGTAGGCACAGTTCGTAGCTGAGACCACATAGTCCACGTGTTACCTTGGGAGCTCATCCTGGGGTCATAATCATCATTCATCATTATACACATCAGCTAGAGGTGGGAAAAACACCTCCGCTATTGTGCCGCAATACATGAAGGAAATACATACATACACACACACAATACAATACACAAAGGAGAAGTAGATACAACAGTTGCATGCCAGCTGAGCTACCAGCAACGGATAGGCATCGTTCCGGTAAGCTTCCAGCTAGCTAATAGGCAAAAAGAAGAAAAAATTATGTTTGAAATGAGATCGTAGTTGGATGGGAGGCTAAAAGGGATGGGAGGGACAAAGAAACTCACAGCATGAACGCCACTGAGGTCGGTCCTTGCCATGTCAGCAAGTGTATCCAGCCAAACGTGTTCACGTCTTTTAGACCCCAACCAGGGAGCCGTGACGCTCCAACCGAGGCTAGCACCGAGGTGAGGACTTCATTCCCTGACCAAGTCATCGCTTGGCCACCTTCTCTTCTTCCACCACATCCCGGTAGCAAACAACGCACGTCGAGGATTCGGTGGGCTGGCATGCGCAACACGTGGCCAGCCATCGGAGCCTGGTGCGGGAAATAACGACGCTGAGCGGTTCAGATCCTTTTCCTGGGCCGTAAACAATGCGTCGAACACGCTCGTTACTCACGCGTGTTCCACATATGTGAGCCAACTGCGAAGGCACGATGGTCGAATGTAACTAGCCTCTTCATGTCCGCCGATCTTATGGGCCAGGTTTCGCACTGTACAGTAAGGTCGAACGTACCGCTGCATTGTACACTCTACCCTTCAAGGCGAGAGTGATGTCGCGCCGCCGCCATAGGTGGCGAAGGTTAGCAAAGCACTTCGAGCTTTCGCTATACGGTTCGTGATCTCGTCTTCGATCCCAAGTGCGCTGATACAACTCCCCAGGTAATTGAATTCTGAACGACTTCTAACTGATCCCACAAGGATCAGTGCAGGAGGCGATCCCTGCCAATCTTGGAGAATGCTTTGCACTTCGATGATGCAAAGCAAAGCCCGAAGCGCTGACAGCCAGTGCCAATCTGTCTAGCGCGGCTTGGCACGTCTGGGAGCTGTCACAGATGAGGGCAATGTCGTCAGCATACTCCAAGTCAAGAAGTCGTTCTCCTGGGAGTAGCTCACACTTCCAAGTCATGTCCTGTAAATGCAAAATCATGACTTCGTCAATAGCGAAGTTGAAGAGGAAAGGTGACAGCGGGCATCCTTGTCTCACACGCTGGAGATATTAAAGGGCGACGACAACTTGCCGTAAGCCCTCACTCTGCCGTGCTACGCGCATATAATGCTCGGATAATATTTAGATATTTCTCGGGCACACTTTCCTGAGTAGACAATTCCAAAGGCACATCGATCAACCGAATCGAAGGCACTTTGATGTCGAGGAACACACTACGGTGGGCCGCCAATATGTGTGGCGGTGCTCCAACAACTGACGCAAAGTGAAGATGTGGTCAATGCAGCCACGATCACGACGAAACCGGCTTGCTTTTCACGAATCTGGCTTTCACGAGCGCCAGTCAGTCTGTGAAGAATTATGGAGCGAGTAATTTGGAGGCGATGGAGATCAGACTGATTCTCTATGGTTGCCGCATTCCGAGCGCGAGCCGCCTTTGAAGATGGGAACAATAACGGAGCGGCTCCAGTCGGTTGGGACAGTCTCCTGCTCCCCACAGTTTCACTAGTAATTCATGCAAAGCATCCACAAGAGCAGGGCCACCGAATTTGAAGAAGGCTGGTGGAAGATCATCTGGTCCCGCGGCTTTGTTCAACTTCAACGATCTGATCTGGCGTTCGAATTCTGAGCTAGAGGGCAGATCCAAAGGGACAGCCCACGGAGCAGGGCGATCAGTGACCGGCGAACCGGACAATTCTAGCCGATTAAATTGGTTTTCAAAATGCTCAGCCCAACGCTCCAAACGTTTTGACAAATTGTGGATAGGCTGTCCACTCTCATCACAAACTGTTTCACTAATACCAGGTCTCCTGCTTCCCGTTTCCCGTATCAGACGGAATAACTTACGATGGTTGCCAAGGGCAGCGGCCACTTCCATCTCTGACGCACGATGAGACCACCAAGATTCGCGGTCTCTCTTCAGGCTAGCACGGAGTTTTGCCCGGAGCTCTTTGCGAGTTTCATGGTGTTCTCTTCCAGCCGGGATATGCCGGCGAGCGTCGATAAGTTCCAGAGACCGAGAAGAGACCCAATGTCCATGTGGGCTTTTAGACATACCACATGAGGATTTGCCCGCTGCTAGTAAGGTCTGGCGAACATGTGACCAGTGACCATCAATTGTCTCCAGTGAGCGAGTACTCAACTCGCATGTCAGCGTACTTTGATACGCATTCAGAACAGCTGAATTTGTCAGTTGGCTGGTGTCAATGCGCTCACAGCGTCGTCGTGGGCGTCCTCCAAAGCGCATCCGCATGCCAGCACATACAAGTGCATGATCAGTGTCCACACATGTGCTCCAAATCGAGCGACAATTCTGGATGCAGCCTCTCCGGCGGTAACTAATAGCAATGTGATCGATCTGCGTCCAAGGCTGGTTCGAGGCTGGTGGGCGCCAAGTCACCCTCCGGCGGGTGCTGTGTCGGAAATTAGTGCTCGCAAGCAATAAACGAGCATCTTCACACAAATGAAGTAACCGCTCACCGTTATCATTATGGGAGCCTACACCGTGCTGACCGCCCAGATGCATTTCATCAGTGGACAACTTTCCAACTTGTGCGTTCATATCCCCCGCCAGAACAACAGTGTCCGTGCTTCTTTTGTGGCGAAGGAGCTGAGTCAGTTGGCGGTAGAAGTCGTTCTTTACCGAATCATCGCTACAGTTTGTGGGCGCGTAGGCAGCGATGATGAATAGACATCTATTAGTCCCGCGCGACTTCGAAGCTTTAGTGGAGCCAGCCAATCGGACCGCACACATCCGGCTACTGATTGGAATCCAATCAACCAGAGCAGCTTCAGCCCGGGGATTCAGAGCAATGCCAACACCGGCTTGGCCGGTGCTCGAAGCTGCATCGTGACCGGATAGGCGCAATGAGAAAATACTGTTTGCGTCACCTGAAGGGGATCGCAGAGTGAGCCCAGAGCTCGAGTCTTGCAGGCGGGTCTCTGATAAGCAGCAGATATTGATCGAGAGGGTCTCCAATGTTCGGGCAAGTGCTGCCTGTTGACCGATCTGTAGTAGTGTGCGTACATTAAGGCATGCCAATCTGCAGGAAAATCGAGGGCTCCAAATGGAAGCCGATGAACTGGATTGGACCGCTTGGTTGGACATGGGGTTGTCGACAGGAGAGGAGTGACGCTTCGCGTTCACATGTGAGTTGAAACTAGAAGATAAATGCCTAGCAAAGCATGTTGGGGGAGGGCCAAGAATCGGGGGGTTGAAAACTGGGGGGGATATAAGTGAAGTTGGAAGGGGACGGTAAGAGTGAAAAAGCGTAAGATGGGGAATAAGAAGACGGGAAGGCTTGAGCAGTAGCATCCAAACCCCTATCCACCCTGCTCGATGCAGCAGATAGGGCACCGTTTATTATCCTCTGCGGTGGCCAGAGCATCAGCAATTTGTTTGAAGTGTGATTCATTGTATTGCGTGGGCAGGATACTGTCAGGTTGCCCAGGCCTAGATAGGAGAACGATTAGGGTTCTCAACCAAAGCCTTTGGTTCAAAAACCTGACCGCAAGGCAGCGGGTTTGGCGTTGGACTACAAGGAGTC